TCCACCTGTCTCTGTCTGTCTGTCTCTGTCTCTGTCTCTCTCTCTCTCTCTCTCTCTCTCTCTCTCTCTCTCTCTCTCTCTCTCTCTCTCTCTCTCTCTCTCTCTCTCTCTCTCTCTCTCTCTCTCTCCTCTCTCTCCTCTCTCCCTCTCCCTCTCCTCTCTCTCTCCCTCTCCCTCTCCCTCTCCCTCTCTCCTCTCCCTCTCCCTCTCCCTCTCCCTCTCCCTCTCTCCTCTCCCTCTCCCTCTCCCTCTCCTCTCTTCTCCTCTCCCTCTCAATATATACATATATATATATATATATATATATATATATATATATATATATATATATATATATATATATATATATATATATATGAAAGCAATCTTTAGTATGTTTTTTTAAGCCACCGTGTAATAATACTTTAACGAGAAAGATATGTAATTTTTGACGGATGACTAATGTACAGTGATTATAGACCTACTTAAAATTTTGACGGTCTTCTGCAGCATTGTGTGTATGTGTGTGTGTTAGTTACAAATCCCATAAAAAAAAATCATGAGATAAGGGTTTACGTGAAGCTACACCGCCTCCTTCCCCACTCCAGTAGCTAAAACCCTTAACATTAGGGACAGGTAAAGGAAGAGAGTCGTTCTGGAATATAAAGATTCCTAAACAGGGTACTGAAGAAAAGTGACCCTTATTTCTATCTAGTAATACGTCCGTTAAGCCCCTATGAAAAATGCATCTTCAGAATGTACGTATCAGACAGAAATGTACTATTTTGGAATTACAAGCGTACACATCCGTCTCAGTAGCAAAAATCTTTCCTGTACAAATACACAGAAATATGGATTATTACATTGACGTATAATACATTCCTTTATAATTTTAGTATTGAAATATTTAAGCTTTATGTAAAGAATGTGACATTTCATAGATAAACAATAAATCTGTTTAATACATAACCTTGGAATAAATTGGTGTTTTTTATCATTTCAATGTTTAGCAATTACACCCGCAAATGAGAGATACAGACGAACTGAATGACGAACGGGCTCACCGACAGAAAGAAAGAGACAGACAGAAAAAGAAAACAGACAAAAGCAAAAGCAGCAGAGAGAGATGAGGGCGGGGCGTGTGTGCTTAGATACCTGTTGGTTGCCCTTGAAAACACCAGTCTCAGAACCCGTTATAACAGCATTCTGGCCCAGGTACCAGCGGCCATATTCACAGGTTCACTTATCAGCAAAAACAAAAATGGGCGTGATAACTACGACGACTATAAATAAGTCAAGAGAATGAACAGCACATAAGGGAGAGAATGCAAATTATTTAACATGAACACATTATGATAAGTACGTCATTCATTATATATCCATTCAGTTTATATAGCCTTGGCACTGAGAGCTTGATGAT